ATTTTTTTGTCGCGCTCATTTAAAATCGTTATTCGCGTCTGGCAAGTATTAAATCCCATTGAATTCGTCTGGCAATTAACACATATTTTTCAATATCATCTAATAAACACGCTGTAAAAATTTTAGAATGCCTAAAGTATGTTTTCCAGGTATAATAATTAAACATATTTGGAATGGTCGGGTTGTACTTTCAACCCGAATAAAAAGTCTGGCATACTTATGTCTAGGTTAAATAGATGCTAAAATTTAACAACAAACAAATTTCAAGTTGCCTAAAGAATGTTTTTTGGATTTATTTTTTTGCAAATGTTATGGGTTGCGCAGTAGCGAAATACCCCCAACCCGCAGCCAGACTTAGGATTCTGGGTTCACCAGTTAATAAACTATACATTTTTAGTTATTCTAGCTTGCCTAAAATATGTTCTCTAAATATGTCGTCAGCTCTTAGGCTAAGACGTTTCACTGACGATATGCGATCTTCGTTAATAAATATGTGGCAACCCAGTATTTCTCTGTTTGTATCTCCATTTTGTATATCTTGGGTACATTTGTTTTATATACAGGGTGTCCCAGAAATAAGTGCAAATATTTTAACTGGTAGTATAGTTCAACCCCAGAAATACGCCTATGAGGTTTTTTTCGCGAAAAAAAAATGAAAATTTTTTTAGTTTTTAGTTAAAAAACTTAATTTCTTGATAATGTGGCAACATAGGTATTAGATTAAATTTACAAGAAAGAAAATCCAGAAAAAATCCAGTGGTTCTCAAAATTTTAGCAAAAAATCATTTTTTTTTGGAAATTTTCAAAGTAAAATAACTCCGGTATTTTGGACTTATTTGAAAAACGGTAAAGAGAAAATATGTTTCTTTTGTCGAGATCTACCACCCCTTAAAATATTTGCACTTATTTCTGGGACACCCTGTATAGCAGGTTTGTCTATTTATATTATTGTTCAGAGAAAAAAAATGAGCTTCCATAACTAAATACAGTTAGATTTAAACTAATACGCACGCAAATCTGTATAATACTGTCAACAAGTTTCCAATAATCGAGTTCTAAATAGGAGTAGTTAAAACTAGGGGGAAATATTATACGTGTATTAAAATATATACGTGTATATAGTATATAGAGCCAGATTGAGCGCTCCGTGTGACGCAATATTAAATAATTAAGCTCTGAAATTAATGCGGATTATGGAGGAAGGATATTTGCTCGTCATATTTTGGTAATTGAACCGTTTTTGGTAAACACTGATATAATTCGATGGATCTTCACATCAGCAAGATATATAATATTCATAGAGATGTTTGTTAATCAAAATTGAGCGTCGTTAAGTCGTTGAGTGTTTGAGTAGTTTAGAGTTCCTTTATATTATCCTTGATGATATTTATTGCATAGATATTTTTATTGTCCAATAATCCAAAACCTGCAGCGACAGCCTTTCCAGCATTGAAACTAGACAATTCTGATGATCCTGATTGTCCAAAACCGCTAACAGCTCCAGAAACAGATCCGGCATTGAAACTGGACAAGTCTGAGACTCCAGACTGTCCAAAACCGGAGGCTACTCCAGAACCTGCATTGAAGCTGGACAAATCTGATACAGCTGACTGTCCGAAGTTGCTAGCACCTCCAGAAACTGCTCCAGCATTGAAGCTTGACAAATCTGCTGCTCCTGCCTGTCCAAAACTGGAACCTACTCCAGAAATAGATGCTCCAGCATTAAAACTGGACAAATCTGAAGCTCCTGCCTGTCCAAAACCGGAAGCTACTCCAGAACCAGCTGCTCCATAAAAAAGATAAAAATAAAAAGAAAAAACGGAAACCTTATACACTTACCAGCACGAAAAACGGGCACCTATAAATTTTCATTTATTTTAAAGCTTTATACAGAGTGGTCCGAACTGTATTCCTGAAACTTTGGCATCAGATTATGCAGATAAAAATAAGTAAAAAAGTTCGTATAAATGTATGTCCTAAAATGCTTAGTTTCGGAGATACAGGGTGTAGAAGTTTAATTTTTATTTCGATTTTTTCCAAATAATTTATAATGTGACGTCAATATTTGGATTAAAATTGGTGTCTGGGAGTTTTTTGACATGAGAAATTTGGGATCCTGATGTCAATATGACTCCTCCTTGTAGAGGACGCCATGCGCCATCTATAGTCTGTCCAACGAGAAGATCCTTGACAGTGATAGATGTGTCTGTCATTTTAATTTCAAAGTAGTTTATTTTATTTTACAAAGAAATAAGTTGGTACAACTGGAACGCATAGCAGGAAATTAATATATGTATTTAAAATCTGACTGACAAGTAACTTCAAAATATTGTGAAAAAACTGTATAAAACTGAAAAAATGTAATCGAGTTATTTTATTTGATAAAAAACGGCATGTGTTAATACAAAACAAACAAAAACAATACACCACATACCAAAAAATATAAAAAAGAACTATTTCTTACTTTCAAGCTTTATGAAACTTCCCGCATTTATGATTATATTTATCAATATAACTTATGTACAAATACAAATTTGTAATATTCCGCAGGAATAAATAAAACAAAATAAATAAAACAAACTATTTTATTAATAATAACACTTACCAAATTTTATACCTCACAGGTTGATTAATTAACTTTAATCTTAATTTTTTTAAACCAGTACCTTTTGACATTATTTTTCTGCAGTACTAAAATCCATTATTTTACCTATCGTGTGATGTCGATATTTTACAGCTACTCCAGTTTTTAGTATGGGTTTAGTATGGTCCTTCTACCATATTCGTGATGCACTTATCTACGACGAGATGGTATACGAACTTTATTGATAGTAACTTTATTGGTGTATCTGTATAAGACTTGCCTGGGCAGCGAGTATTAACCATAAACTGTGCTCTGGGTTCTACAGTTAATTTTCACTCAATTTTTCCTCCACTTGACTTCAAAAGACACAAAACACACGTAATAACACGAATCAAAATGCATCATCTTCCAAAACGCTGGGTATTTGACAAAAGTTGTCACAAAATTATAACCTATAATTTGGCAAGACTTTGACAAACGTCAAAATCTAAAGGCGAGTTCATGCAGACATCGGCGTCCGTTTGTCGTTCATCGTTCCGTCAAACCAATAAAATTGAAATACGATCTGTCATTTTTGAAATAAACCAATAAAACTGGTTAAAAACAACAAGTGACGACGCATGACGAATTTATATTTAAACCCATCCATAGTTAACTTAAAAATTATTAGAAATTTTTTTAGTAAAATAAATAGATTGGTATGGGATGTCATCTGCTTTTCTTCTGTCATCGTCTGTCGAAATCTTACCTGAGAAAAAAAAACAGAGTATACATATGTTTTAACTGTTTTAAAGAGTAATAACTTTTCATCGGTACCTGTATAAAACTACTGAGTAAAAAATATACATTTACGAAGTTTTTTACGCACAAAAAGATCTATTGGTAAAAATCGCTACAAGTAATGGTTCTCGAGATATTTGGAAACGGAATTATCAATACCTGTCATCATTGACATAAATTAAACTAAATTAGACTGAAATCGTAAATTTGAAATATTTTTGTACCAAAAGTTCAAAAGAAACGGTTTTATCATTATTTTTTCGCAGAAAAATTTATGATTGATTTAAAAAATAAAAATTTCTCAAATTTATTATTGCAGTTAAATAACTAATCTATTTAAAGTGTTTATTTTTTGTCAATAATGACATGTATTGAGTATTTCTATTCTAAATCTCTTAAGAAAGATTGCTTGTAGCGAAATATTTAAATGTTTATTCTAAATAATTTTTTGTTGAAAAATCTAAAGTAATTGGGCTATAATAGTGTACTTCTTTACTTATAGTTACTAGTACTCTTCATTAACTATCCAAATGTAGTATTTATTATTTTCTCTGTAAATGCCAGAATTTGCCGTCCTCCATTTTATAGATCGAAAAAGGATTAAAACGGATCGGTTGATGAGGGGCTGGAGGAGCAAGAGGGGAAGGGAGACCATTATAAACTCGACGACCCTGCGGTTGGCTGCACTGTCGGCAAATAATTTAAATAACCCTAGGAGAGCCGTGGAAATAAGTGGAATACTTTCGCTAGGATAGAACGTGGACAGCTCTAATATAATGAGACTCTGTGGTGCTGCAGTGTTGGTGACAGGGTCTGGTCTAGATCAACTGTAAAAGAACAAAAAAATATTAATTGTATATTCGGTTTGTAGTTTCTAGAAAATTTTAAAAGTAAAGTTTTATTCAGAGACTCTAAATTAGAGGTATAAATAATGCTCCATAATGCACAAATTTATTTTTCGTTCAATCTTATTTATAGCTCTTTGAACAGATCTTCTTCTTATACTTCCGAATGCAGTTTGTACTCTTTAATTGTTTTTTATTACTCGTTAATTGTCTTTGTACTTTCAAAACCTAAAATAAAAAATGCAGGTCCGTATTTAAAAAAATTAAGTTGGCCTCTGTATCTCTCAAATTATCAGCTAATTTGAAAATCTAAAAATACCATCAAATAGCCCTATTGGCTATGAGAATGTGCAATTAGTTTTTTGATTTTCTAAAAAGTAACGACAGGAAGAAATAAAATTGCAGCAATCCCAATTTCCAGCAATCCTGGAAAGTTTTAAAACTTTTTTGATGGCATCTTGGTGAACATCCCAAGGCGCAACTTTGCCACAATTTAACCATGTTTGTATATATATTACTGTTACCGAGATACCAATGCTCGTACCTCGAATTTGTAGCACCCTGTATACTTATGAATTTACGATCATTCACCAATGTGTACAAAAATGCAATTAAAATTAATAGAATATACTTCTAGCAGTTTGCTGTAATCAGTTTTATCCTTATTAGGTATTAATAATTGACTTATAAAATAAAAAACTTTTCATTTCTAGCTATATATTCTTTATAATTAAAGGCAAAATAAAAATACTTTTTTACCCATCTACTATCTACTCTGTCTGCTGTTCCAGATACCAACTAGCCAACCCACTAGACTCTTCAGCTTTATGAACCCTCTAGCTGTCGAGATCTGGATATACGTCCTAGCTGCCTACCTCTTAGTTTCTTTCACCCTGTTTGTGATGGCACGCTTTTCACCCTACGAATGGAACAACCCCCACCCCTGTCACCAAGAGTCTGACATTGTAGAAAACCAATTCTCAGTGTCCAACAGTTTCTGGTTCATTACCGGAACCTTCCTGAGACAGGGTTCAGGCCTAAACCCTAAGGTTCGAAACATTTTAAACCGTTTTAAGAAAATTATGCATGTTTTTTATTGTGGAACACTTTGTATATCAGTATCTGGAACTATAAAACTTTCGCATGCAGTAAATTACTCAATGGTACAAGAGATATTTTATCGAAAACTGGAAAGTTTAAGATCTATATTAAAACGATAAATTTGAAAGTTTGTGGAGTAGTGAGTCAAAAACTGTGCAGCTGAATTTGTGGGTAACATAGAAGACCGTTACTCTATTATAAGAAGCGTTTTATTAACTAGGAATATACCAGGTGTGTTTGAGAAGTATATAACTATTTTTTTATATATGGAAACACATTTTTTATTATTAATATTTTGTAAAAAATGTGTTCTTCATAAAAGTTTTTGCTGGTTCTAAAATTCTTCATTCCATTTAGACTTTTCCAATATGAATATTACAACAACCACAGAGTTCCCAACTCTCAAAGGAGTACTACAGGGAGACACGATATCCCCAAAATTATTTACAGCAACACTAGAAGATATCTTTTGTCAACTGGACTGGAACAACAAAGGATTAAAAACAGATGGAGAATATCTTAACCATCTAAGATTTGTTGGCATAGTCCTAATTAAACTTTTAAACAAACTAAAACCAAAATTAAGACAAATTTAGACGTTTTAGTAATCTATTAATTATTTATTATTAATTTTTCATAAATACCTTAAAAAAATAAGTAATATTTTCATGCTTTTCAATTTTTTTCTGAAACAGTAAGGAAATTTAAAAAAGTATAAACGAAATTAAAAATTTTCAACGATTTTTGAAAACACTTATTCAGTTTTTGTACTTATGACACTTCTCCATATCTAGTAAACTATTACTCTAAATTATTTCACATCAACAGAAGTCTCCAGACGTCTATTTTAAAGAATTACTGCAAAACTTTCCCGTTTTAAAGTTTTATCGTTCAAAAATAACAGTATAAATAATTTTTGGACTCTCTAAAAGAATATCGAGGATATTTATGAGAAGATGTTGTTCATTCTAAAGTGTGAGAATATATCAAATATATCTCTACAAGTTTAAAAATCTCCGAGATATCTACACCAAACACATTATGACAGATAAATACAAAAAATTATTTTGTTTATTATTGTTTTACTACGAAAATAATTTTATTGTATCCATAAATAATAACAATAGTGTGTTAAAAGGTATTTTAGAAAAGGAAAAATTATGTCTGCAACCAGTCACTCACCTCTATATCCCGCATCAGTTTGTGCAGGTCCTTGATAGTATAGGAGCATAGTTTCTTCGCTTCTTGCCTTGACTTTGTCATAGGTGCTTGGCTGTTTCAGGATCTTTATCGCAGAATTTGCAGCAAAAACTTTCCTGATACTGGTTGAGTTTTGTTGTTGGGCAGCGTTTTAATGATTCCTTAGTACAGAGTCTCCAGATGATACCTTCATAATTTTAGCAATTTTTAGTCGTTTCCTCCTTTGGTTGTCTTAATCCAAGTAAATCTTCTTACTTTATTTACAAAAAAAAACTCAACAAGAATTTAAAAAATGTTTTATACTCTATTTTTTTTATTTTAACATCAAAGGTTTACCCAAAGTCTCCCCAACAACTGTTCTTGTTTCTCAAACCCTTTGGAATGGACGTCTGGATGCTAGTCTTAGTAGCATACATTATAGTTTCCATCACTATGTGGATAGTTTCCTTCCTATCACCCAACGAATGGAAACCAATGGAGATATGTGAAGAATGCTACTTGAAAGAGAACATGGGATATAATTCAGACAGTGAAGACGACACATACTACAGAAATAGTGAGATTTCTTCTGATTTTGGTACAGATGACCCAAATGATTTTTTTGAAGATTTAGGTATAATTTTGTTACCAGAATTTTTTCCAGACTTAATTTTTTGTTTCTATTACTTTTTAAGACGAAACTTCTGTAAGTTATGCAGAGAAACGTTGTTTCATGAAGTATCATACGGATGATCATTTCTGTCAAGAGGCTTTTGAAAGTTCGGATATTTTAGAGAATAAGTTCACTGTAAATAACAGTTTTTGGTTCAGTGTGGGCAGTTTAACACAACAAGCTACAGATCTGAATCCCAAGGTGAAAAAAAATGTAGACTTATTAGGTAGATTGCTAGAGGCTGATTATTGAGATATCTATGCTGTAATCAGTAGGTAAAAAATATGGATTTAGAAAAAATGCTAGATCATTGTAAGCTACTTTGAATATTATGCTAAAATAATTGGAATTGTATACAAAGTGTTCCACTATTAGTTAGTTTTTACAAATGTTTGGTATTTTATTAGAATTAGTTATTTACACAGGCTTGAATGCTTGAATTTGATATACTTATTATTTTGTTGATTCTAGAACTATAAATTGTCAACTCTGTACAAATAAGTATTTTTACAATAAATTTTTTGATATGGTACTTAATAATTTTGATCTGTTTAGGCTACATCTACACGAATTGTTGGAGGTATATGGTGGTTCTTTACCTTGATCATCATATCGTCGTATACAGCGAATTTGGCTGCCTTTTTGACAGTGGAACGCATGATCACACCCATCGAAAGTGCCCAGGACCTTGCTGATCAAACGGAGATATCGTATGGGACCTTGGAAGGTGGCAGTACCATGACATTCTTCAGGGTGAGTCTACAGGATGTTTAAAAAAACATGTGTCATCTCTCGTGGAGAGATTCCTCACGTAAAAATAAAATTTATTTTTCATATTAACATAGGTCCGATTCTGCTTTGTTTCCTAGCTACAGGGTGTTAAAGTTTTAATATTTTTCGATTTATTATAATTTTCTTCCAAAGTACTTTTAGTGTTTCGGATGAAATTTTGAGGGTACTTTAAAGCTAAAAAAGTGCCAACATATTCACCATGGACGTGCATATGGGTTATTACAGGAATATTTAAAAAAAAGCATGTACGCCGCTGACTTTTTTTTCTCTTTTTAGCGAAATTATTACTATGGTCTATAAAATGAATAACTTTGAATTTTGACCGTTATTTTTTACCAACATGGCAAATATAAAATCCCTCTGCCAAAAAAGTTATTGATATTCTTTAAATTGAGCCTGAGCGAATCAGATAGGTAACTCTTTTTACTTTCGTGAAATAGAAAAGAAAGATAATAGAACAAGTGACAGTTCTTCCTCTTCTTCCAAAAATCAACACGAAATGTCATAATTGTCAAAAGTAAAATGTCATCAGCTTTTGACATTTCTAAATATCAGACCAATTCCGTCTCTAATAGAACAGCCCGGGAGCGAGATTTATGACGTCACGCTAGTTAGATACTACGGATTAATAAATATGTTGTAGACTACATGGAAAACATAATTATTCCTCGTATTTTTGGTTTGTATTTTAAAAATGATATAGTTTACATGAAATATACATAATATACAGTTAATAAATACCATATATACCTATTTATAGTAATAAATACTTTGGCAAATAAACTATGAGCCATACAAATGCAGCAAATGCTTTACAATATACAAATAATAAATAGGGACATAAGGTAATGGGTAAAATGTAAAATATATTTTAAATTTTGAGGTTTGAAAATCGATCTAATTTAACAAAAAACATTCAATACCTACTACTAATGTATTTATTATTAATTATTTAATAATATTATTATATTCTTTTGGTAGGTTGTGATTTTGTGTGTATTTGTTGCATTTGTATCATTCATAGTTTATTTGCTAAAGTATTTATTACTATAAATCGGTATATATATTGTATTTATTAACTATAAATTATGTATAATTCATGTAAACTATATCATTTTTAAAATACAAACCAAAAATACGAGGAATAATTATGTTTTTCATGTATTCTACACCATATTTATTAATCCGTTATATCTAACTAGTGTGACGTCATAAATCTCGCTCCGAGGCTGTTCTATTAGAGGCGGCATTGCTTCAGCATGGCCGCAAGTTGCTAACCTAATAAAATTAACCCTAGAAAAGACCGCGGGAACTGTCAAATTCAAAGTTATTTGTTTCACAGACTATATTATTTCAGTATTATAAAACTTATGCAATATTTAAACAGTTTTCATTAAAATCCCACCAAAATGTTTGTCGTCATATAAGAAAGAAAAATTTAATATTCACATAGTAACGATCGTGTACAAAATTGTTCTGGACTTTTTACTCAGCTACAACGAGCGCAACCCGACCTAGCGCACTATCCAGTCATTTTAATAAAATTCTAACCGGCTTTTTCCCCGTGTAACATATGCACCGTTTCGTGTAATTAATTAAACATGTAATTAATTAAACATATTAGTATAAAAGCTCTCCGGTTGTCGGTTTTATCTAAAAGCGTGACTAAAGTTAAACTCAAATTTAATTAAATTCAATTTTGTTGAGTTGAACTAGAACACTGAGCAGGTGTTTGTGCAATCAATTCAGACATTTTTTCGATATGTGCGTGTTTTTTTTTGGAAAAAAATCGTTTATAAATCGATTTGGGAAATTTAAAATGTAAAAAGTGATGTTTGGACAAATGCGAAATCGAATTTTTAATTAGGGACTAGTTTGCAGTTTGATTTTCTCTTGAATCAGGAAATTTAAAAGCAATATGCTATAGTATAACCATGTTTGCTTGTGTTAAACAGATTTTTTAATCGATTTAATCAAAGTTAAATATTTTTTTTATGGAAAGGCACGGTGTTTCGGTATGTTAAGAGGAATCTAAACATAAATAATTAAAAATTACGTGTTTATATTAATTTAATTTTATTTTATTTTAAAAATTTCGACTGCAGCGCTCCATGCGGTAGAAATTAGTAATTTTCGTCTCTGTATTTCACGCAGTTCTGATGTTGATCGCATTGAAATAATAAAATATTAAAATCATGGATTTGTCATATTATTTAAGTACCTATTTTAGTTTTTACTGGTGCAGATATTGAAACTATAAAATACTCAGGTGCGAGGTTTGTGTGATGTAACGCTGTTTCGGGTAGTAAAAAATAAGTGAAAAAGAATTCGAACTGTAGGCGTCTTGTTGTGTTGTGACAATTTCAAATGTTAATAAAACTGCCAAAAAATGTTAACGCTTAAATGAGAGCGTAATTAGGGCGTTGTTGGGTGCAATAACATTCAATAACTCAACTTTCCCGGATATTAAACTCTCCCGAAACAACATTTTATAGCTTCATAGTTTCTCACGCTGATTTTATCAAAAGCAAAAAAGGATTCAAACAGTTCGATGAAACAAGTGAGTAAACAAAGTGCTCGTTACTTAATCAAAAAATTAAAGAGACATATACTAGGAAAGGGCCATGTATACCATGATAGTAAGACCCATGATTACTTATGGAGCAGTTGCCTGGTACACAAAACTAGAGCAACGGACGGCAAGGCTAAACCTATGCAAAGTCCAGAGACTAGCATGTGTTTGCATCACAGGAGCCATGAGAACCTGTCCAACAGCAGCAATGGAGGTCATTCTAGATCTAACACCACTGCACATTGTCATTGGTAGATATGCCAATGCGACAATGATTAGAATGGTCACTAACGGAATTAGTACTGGGAGAATTATCAGATCAGGGGCTTGGAACACCCTCAAAAAGGAAATACCACTCCTGCAACTCCCAGTGGACGATATGCCAAGAACGTACAACTTTGACAAATATGTCAATGTAGTATTGAGCAATGAGAAGGATTGGAAGAGCGAAACGCTTGCCCAGCAGTTAAAAGACCATACCATAACTTGGTATACTGATGCTTCCAAAACCAATACGGGAACAGGGATCGGAGTGTTTGGGCCGAGAGCTAATTACTCCGAACCAATGGGCACTTACCTTAGTATCCTACAGGCAGAAATCTACGCTATCGAGAGATGCGTACAACTTATCTTAGATAGGAACTATCGGAAACAAGAAATAGCCATCTTATCTGATAGTCAAGCAGCGTTAAAGGCGATCAACTCAGTATCAATCAATTCGAAATTGGTCAAAGAATGCATAGAGAAGCTGAATAAATTAGGCAAAGAAAACAAAGTCCTCCTACACTGGGTGCCTGCTCACCAAGGGATAGAAGGCAATGAAAAGCAAATAATCTAGCTAGGAAAGGAGCGAACACTCCACTAACTGGACCAGAACCGTTCTGCTTTCCAAGTGGTAACCAACTCAAGGCGGAACTCAAGAACTTGGAAGATTCCTTCCGCAACCTGGAATGGAAATCTTGCAATGGTCTAAGACACTCGAAGAAGTTTCTGAGGGCTTATGATCAAGAAAAATCACAGATCTTCCTGGGTCTGAGTAAGAACAATCTTCGGATTGTCACGGGGTTTTAACAGGACACTGTCTCCTCAATGAACACCTCAGTAGATTGAAACTAAGAAGAAACGGCGAATGCAGATTCTGTGGGGAAGATGGTGAAACACCAGTACACCTCATCACTGAGTGCGCCGAGACGACAACCATTTGTGCCATGAATTTTGGTACGACTGATATTGGAGATGGAGAACTACCCTCTATAAAACCGTCCCAGATACTGGCTTTTGTCAAAGCCCTGGGACTGTATGATGAGTTATGATTCAAGAAAGGGGGACACAATGGATCTGTAAGGTCGAAGTGATTAACCCCCCTCTCACTCATTCTAAATTCTAAATTCTAAAACTAGGAGAGGATAAAATATAATTTGCAATATTAATAATATACTTTTTTTAATCAACCAGTGATTAAATGTTTTATGAACATCTTCTTATAAAATTATAATTATGTACCTTTAAAAAATTTCCTTATCTATAGCCGAAATAGCCCCAATTATGCCTAGCAAAACCGATGATAATACTATGCTCGCTACCGTAGTTGAACTCATCTAAAAAGTTTTTTTTAACTGGAATAATAAATTATAATACAAGTTAAACCTTCTGAAGATATCAAAATATTTACTTTTTTATTTTTATACATATATATTAATGCAGTAATTTCATTTTTATTTGTGGACATTTACATGATATTTATTGCAGTGTATTAAAATACTTATGTTTCTATTTTTATATATTTTTTAATTTATTTATAATTCCTTTTTTCAGGACTCTAAGATTGGAATTTATCAAAAAATGTGGAGGTTTATGGAAAGCAGGAAACCTCGGGTTTTTGTCAAAAGCTACGAGGATGGAATAAACAGGGTGTTGCAGGGAAACTATGCCTTCCTCATGGAATCCACCATGCTGGATTACGCGGTTCAACGTGACTGCAATTTGACACAAATAGGTAAAGCATATCATCTTCTAGATTATTCAACCATTTCCAGTTACAGCCTATTTTGCGAAGATGGGCTGAAATTTGGGTAAATACTATATACCCGGTATATACCCAAGTCTGTTTATTTTGTTAATTTAACCTAGTATAAAAAATTTTAACAACAATAATTTGTTGTTATTATTTAAAATAAAATTAAAAAAAAATCGAAATTGAAATTTCAATCTAGAGTGCCATGGCTGTGTTAAAAACACTAATTTATCATCAAGGAGTCTTGGAAAAATAGATTTGATCGTCTAATGTTTTAGTGTCTTGTCCTGGCCAGTTAGAAAATGCTCCAATCGTATTTTTAATCATATCTCAATTTTTTCAAATGGATTGAGGGTGGCTCATTGGCATATTTGGAAAAAGCATTTTTTTACTACGAATAATTTGATCACTTTGTATTTCGAGTCAAATTGTCGTTATGAACCGCATGTGACAATTTCTAATAAACTATATGCGAAGATGTCAAAAATTGACACATGATATGCCATTCTATTCAGAATGCCATTTTCTATAGAATAAAGTAAAACCGAGGGTGGCCATTTAAAAATCAAAAGTTGTAGTCATTTTCGGTGAAACAGGAAGTGGCCGAAAACAGTTGAATACGTTAATCAATCCTAATTTACGTCATATACTAACTTACCAAATCTGGTTTTTTTATCTGAAAAAATAAAAAAGTTATAGGGGTGAGCCACTTTTGAGACACACCCGGTATAAAGTGTCCCATTTCAATAATACAGTTTAAGATAGTTAAAGCTCGTAAAAAATAAAATTAATTATTTTTGGATATACAAAAAAATAACTTTAACTACGAAAAAGCTAAAGCCTGTTAAAATTACTAAAAAACACCAAACTCTCACTGCACAATACAAAAAAAATACACAGCTAAAATAGGATTATCTAGTAATATTTGCAAAACGTGTTTCTCTTTGCAGGCGGTCTTCTGGATTCAAAGGGTTACGGCATCGCCACCCCCAAGGGCAGTCCCTGGAGGGACAAGATCTCCCTGGCCATCCTGGAACTGCAGGAAAAAGGAGTTATCCAGATCCTGTACGACAAATGGTGGAAAAATACCGGAGATGTTTGTACTCGCGACGACAAAAGCAAGGAATCCAAAGCAAACGCCTTGGGAGTGGAGAATATCGGTAAGAAAAATGGTGTAGGGGATGTATATTAAGGGATAAAGGGGCATTTTCTTTTGAGACGGTGTTTTAAAAGGCGGAAAATATGGGTATAGTAAAGATTTTAGCATGTTATTGACAAATTTCTTATGCATGTTGAGTTTTTTTATATATCTTTTATAATTGTCCGAGGATTGGAATTGGACCGTTGTCTCTGTTCATACTATCTTTACATTTATTAATTCTGATGCTTTCATATGCATCTAAGTGCCTGTAATTTGAGATTTGTTTAATTAATTTTAAATTATTAAGATCTATACAATGTTCTTTATCAACAATATGTTCGGCAACGCAAGATTTATCCGGTCTACCATATCTTATCTGAGCTAAATGTTCTTTAAATCTAGTTAATATAGAGTTTCTAGTTTGCCCAACATATTTCTGATTAAAATCTTTACAAGAAATTTCATAAATACCCGGCCTTTCCAGTGGAGGTGTTTTATTCTTTGGATTACCTAATAATTGTTGTAATTTATTATTAGCACTGTACACAAGTTTATAATTGACATTCTTAAAAATTCCTTTTAGACCACGGGATAACTCTCTATCAAACGGTATTGAAAAATATTTTGACGTATCTTTCTCCACTTGCGCTGCTGAACATTGTATATATCTTAATAATTTATAATTAATTAAACAAGTCTCATATTACAGGCAATTAGATGCATATGAAAACATCAGAATTAATAAATGTAAAGATAGTATGAACAGAGACAACGGTCCAATTCCTTCAAATTCTTTGTTCCTACTACTCTAGTGGCGGAAATCTAACTGGTACGCTCGGTGGGCTCTGACTCGGTTGGCTAGATCTTGCCACGCCCACGCAATGCCCACTGAGCGAGTATATAAACGCTCAACTTGTAGATTGTAGTTTAGTTTATAATCATCTGCTGATGATGCTAACATGGTTAGCGAAACGCGCGTCCAGTGTAAAAGTAAAAGTGTTTTGGTGTATTGTGGTGATTTAGTGTTTTATTTTGCTGTGTAACACCAAAGGTTCCAACCCCCAACTGTAGAGAATATCACTCTGAATAGAATGACATATCATATGTCAACTTTTGACATTTTTGCATATGGTTTATTTGAAATTATAATTTGCGGTTCGTAACGAAAATTTAACTTGAAATATACCAAGTGTGTGCATGGTATCAAATTATTCGTAAAAAAATGCTTTTTTCAAATATGCTAATGAGCCATCTCCGTTCCATTTGAGAAAAATGAGATATGATTAAAAATACGATTTCAGCATATTCTAACTGGCCATGACAAGACAGTGAAAATATTAGACGATCAAATCTATTTTTCCAAGGCTCCTTGATTAAGAATTGTGCCATTTAAAAATCAAAAGTTGTAGTCATTTCCGGTGAAACGGGAAGTAACCAAAAACAACTGAGTACGTCAATCAATCCTAATTTATGTCATATACTAACATACCACATCTCGTTTTTTTATCTGAAAGAAATAAAAAAGTTATAGGGATGAGCCACTTTTGAGACGCACCCCCGGTATGTGACATTAATAATGTAAATAAATTAATAGTATTAATAGAGTAGTTAGACGAGTGTCTCTATCTCTATCGTAAAAAAAAATCTCTATCGTATTTCATGGTTGCTACCTATGAAAGGTAGAGGGAATTATGTCATCTTAATTCCCGTTAATAATGTCACAACCCCGTTTATGGTTAGTGTAAACAATACGACATAAGCTTATATTATTTCAGCAAGCAATAAAAACTTCTATTACCTTTAATTCCACTCACTTGAATCAAACGAGTTTTGTTCAAGCTTACAACCCCAACACAACTTATTCCCAACTTTTAATCACCCCTTTAATGCCTCCTTTAATCACCGAAATTAGACGGGCTTAATCCAGAGGCATTAAATTAAGATAAAATTTTATTACACGCTAAGTATCGAATACCTGGACGAGTTATTAAAATTCGCTAATAAATCGATTAGAACCGACGACGCTGTATCGAACTAATTAAAAACATCGACGGTCGATATCGATTTCGATTACCGTGTTTTTTTTTTCGTCCATTAGAGGGAGAATGAGAAAATGGGAAAAACTTTGATGATGGGGCTTAATTGTTTGGCGAAGATAATTAGTGGAGAGGGGATTGTCTTTGTCCTTTGTTAAAGTTAACGTAAAATTCATTGTTGAGGGTGGAAGGGATTAAAATATTATGCGCTTAGCGGTAAGAGTTACTTTTAAGTACCAACCTAAAATCTGTCCTGTCTTTAAAAATAGTTTTTGATGTAATCCAGAAAATTTAATTTTACTATAAGACAGTTGTAATGAAGTTCATAAAATTTCTAGGACACCCTGTATATTGTGTTAATATTATACTAGAATAATAGAGCCTTCATGTTCTTTTAATAATGACAGTCTATGTATTTTATTGTTAGATCATTATTGTAATGAACTTCATTAGTGTTCTTATTGTTGAATTAAATAAGTTAAATATTTAATTGCCATTTTTTGAGAGAGTTTTGATTGGTTTTGGTCGCTAAAATTTAATGCGAAAAACCGAAACGTTTGCGCCGCTCTCCCTACTCTGCTAGTGCAGGTTGAGTGGAGGGGAGCGTCAGTCGAGTACCTCGGCTGCAGCAGCTCCAGTTAGACAGTTTTGTGGTCGCACGCGAAACAGTGAGGTTCGAGTCCGGAGTGCCCTGCCAAGTGTCCTGCTGCCAGCCGCCTGTCGCCGCACTGTATAAGGTAAGCACCCACCGCCAAAGTGATCGAGGGTAGGTCGTATTATTTTTATTGTTATTAAGCGTTTACTCTCAAACCACCTGGACGCGTTATAGGGATAAGGGAGTTTGTTGACGGGATTGTTAGGATATTAAAAGCGCGGGAGAACAACCATTGCCGACCAGGAGGGACTACGTTGTGCTACGAGCAGGTCGCCAGGAATGATGTCCTTTTCTTTTAAAGGTTGTCTGACATCTGCTCCGGTCTGACGTATCCTTCGGTTCATGGGACGAGAGTTCGTAGTTTTCTTCATTAATATTAAAATTGCCAGGATTGCTGAGCAGGCAAAAAGGGACTACGCTGTGCTACAGGCAGGTCGCCAGGAATGATGTCCTTTTCTTTTAAAGGTTGTCTGACATCTGCTCCGGTTCAGTGTACCTCTCGGGGAAAGCTAATTACAGGCTAATAATTAATTCTTCTTCTTAAGGGACAGTCGGGGTAGTTCAGTAAACGCACGGGTCGCGAATGTTCACGGAGCTAAAACAAGACTTCGCCCAAATCCCGAAGCTGGTTTTGTAGCTCCCGTATTTTTCTAGGTGTGTCGTCCGGACTGCACCCTGCATCAGTGACACTGGACGGGATCTCGCCGAAATCCCGAGGTTGTCCTGACCGGGCGGTGTGTGCGGGCTGCGCTTATCCAAACGACGTACAACTCGCCGAGACGTCGCTAACGTCTACGTCGATCCAGGGCTCGCGTTTGTGTATCCCTCGGGACGCTGTTAACTTCGCGACCGATCCAGAACTCGCGTTTGCGTATCCCACAGGACGCTGTTAACTTCGCGATCGATTCAGGACTCGCGTTTACGTATCCCACAGGACGCTGTTAACTTCGCGATCGATCCAGGGCTCGCGTTTGTGTATCCCACGGGACGCTGTTAACTTCGCGATCGATCCAGGGCTCGCGTTTGTGTCCCACAGGACGCTGTTAATTTCGCGATCGATCCAGGACTTGCGTTTGTGTATCCGGGACGCTTTTAACTTCGACGCCGATCCGAGGTCCGTGTTTCGTTGTCAAAACGGATGCCGTTCCGAGAAATATTTAGCTGTGACCATCGAGACCCTGTAACGACGTCGCCGCCATTTAGAGAGTCGCGTCGTAGTAGAGTGTGTTGCTCCGGTACTTACGTGTCTGTGTTCATTAGGACGCCGCTAGATTCGACGCCGATCAGGAACTCGCGTCGTTTTATTTAATAGAACGTCATTGCGGGAACGCGTTTTGAATTCACGGGATAGAATCAGTCAGAGAGTTACATATAGGGAATAATCGATCAAAACTCTAGAGGTACATGGTTGTTATTGTAAATTTTACTTTACGGGTCTTTAAATATACATTTTATTGTTACGATTCGAGGACGTGAACCTTCCTGGATTATTTGTGTACATAATTAATTAGTTAAATAAAAACCTAGTGTTACGTTATAGTTAATTGTGTGTTTTATTTTCTTTTCATCTCATCACTCCCTGGTATCTTCACTGTATAAAAGCTACCCGTATTGGCACTAGTGGTCTCTCAAACACTTTAAACGTTGGGGGTGGCGCCCGAGGAACCGAAACAAGGCAACTCGGCGTCCGTGAGCTTTCTCTAAAACGGGGGAGCGTCACACAGTGATTTTTTTTTAGAAATTCATATTTAAGTTGATATAATTATAATTGCTGTAAAAAATATCCACACATGATATAAACTCCCCTGCATAACATTCCGCCAACCTAAAATTTTGACTAAGTTTGATGTTTCATAACTTTTGAACTTGTAATCCAATTTTTATGATTATGGTATCAATTTGAAGATTAATTTATTGGCATTATTTTTATTATTTTAAAGGCTTTAAGGTACTGATATTTTTACAATCTTGAATTTGTTCTCAAAGCCCAGCGTTATATTGAGGATATCCTCCAAGAAGTTGTTCCATTTGCTCCTTTGATCGGAATCAGTTTATACTGATGCCTGATAATGCCAGGCCCCCACATTCTACGGGGTAACGAGTTAGGAGTATGAGTGGTTAACGAATATCTGAATAAGGTTGTAGCTATGGTTTGGTTGGAATCTCCGTTAATGCTAGCCTTATATCTCTTCTAAAGGGTTTTATTGGGCTATAGATCAAAAAAGAATAACTACCCTTATTCATTCGATAACACGAAGACCTCGAGGTGTTATTGCCGTGAAAGGTGGACATACACGCTATTAAAATTTAATTATAAAATTATTGGTTTTGGCAATAAAAGAATCTCTGAAATCAATACTTTACTTAAAAATTTGTAGCTCATAAATGAATAGAGGTAATGGGATAATTCATATAGAGTAATATATTTTTCAAAAATAAATATCACAATTTTTATTATTAATAGATATTCCTGGACATTCATATCCAAATCAAATATCAATAAATTATAACACAATAAATAATTTAAAATATATAAATGAGATATTATAGATTCTCTTCATTATTTTCTGCTTTTCTGTATTCATACGTGTATTAAACGTGTAGGTCAGCTATTCTACAGAAGGTGAACTATTTGGCCCTCTGACTATAAAAGGTGAAAGGGGTGGGTAATAGTCGTTGAATTTATGCCCTCTAGCCACCCCTGGCTTATTGGCACACTACCCTCATACCTGTTGCGCGCTCACAGACCTACTTTTAAAGTTTTCCGGAAAAGGAGTTTATTGAATTGCTGACAGCACGATTGATATACAGGGTGGCCCATCGAAAACGTAGGGTAGAAGCACCGGTTGTGGCCAGGTTAAGGGATTTTTAGATTTTGACTTATCAGAAAAAATATTTGTAGTTAATTTTGGAGATAAAACAAAATTTTTGGTGCTTCTCCAAACATTTTTCTTTCAAAATCTGCTTTCATTGTAAAGATTTGTATTCTTAATAAACAGAAAATAATTATTTTATGAAAACATACGATTTTTCCCATTTGTGGCCACCTTGTGCCAAATGTGGCCACATTTGCTACCATTTGTGGCCACTTGCAAAAATATTCTCTATATTGAATTTCGCAGATAACTAAGCAAATAATAATATTTTATTTATTACTTTCTTAAAAAAAAAGACATAAAAAGAGACATAATACCAAATGTCTCTTTTTATGTCTTTTTTTTTAAAGAAAGTAATAAATAAAATATTATTATTTGCTTAGTTATCTGCGAAATTTGGTACTTAATTTTTTATATTTTTAACAAAAAAAACATGAACGTTTATTCTTAAAACAAATCAAGTGATACCTAATACCTTATTTTGTTTTTTATCTGTTATACAAATGTTAAATAAAAATTAGGTACATATTAATACTACTGTGAGGAACAATAAGAAAAGTACACTAATTTATCAGAATATTCTTGAATATTTATTAGTTCAGGTAACCACCATACATTTCTCTTGAATTGACTTTTTTAGATTCATCAATTTTCATTGTTATAACACTCAGTTTGTATCAAAGCAAGTCATTTTTACTTCCAATTGCCGCAGATTTGAACCATTGTGCAGCTATAATATTCAACATAATATTTATTATTTTCAATTTGTAATATTTTCCTGGATTTAACTGATTCCCGTTCTTTAAAATAATAAAATTTCCTATATTTAATTCAGCAGATGTCACAGATTAAGCTGGCGTTGGTTTCTCTTTTTTATTTCTACTAGAAAGATCTTTATTTTTATTACAAAAAAGAAAATAATTTTATTTTAATTATTTTTTTTTTGTAAAGTTTTCATTGCCAGTTTTTGTTTTTTTCTCCTTTCCCTTCATTAATTCAATCCACTTATCATATGTAATGACTGATGGTAGATGTAGCCTCTTTCTTTTTAAAAATTAATATCTTCCCGGGTATCATCCTTAAGTTCATAATTATGTCTACTAGTCTTTTTCCTGCATGGTTTGGTCTAGTGGTCCTGAATCATCTTCCTTTGAATTCTCATAATTTTTATTTTTATCGCATTCGTTCATATTTATTCCATTTAGTTCTATATCTATATTATTTTCTATAATCGTTTTCTCATCTGAAGGAAAACTTGATGACGGTATATGTTCAGATTCGTAATCTTGGCCCATAATTGTATTTGGGATATTATTATAATTAGGTACTATTTATTATTCAGTTTTTATTAAAAGCTGAATAATAACAAATAAAATGTTCTTGATATTATGTTGTCCGTCATTTGCACTTACATTATAAAGCTAAATAATATGTGGCCACAACTAGATTTCGATTGCTCCATTTTTGGCCATAACCTGGCTACAAGTAGAACATAATTAAAATTTAATTACACCTTTTGTGGCCACAGAAATAAATCTTAAATATTAATTATTTGAATATAATAAATTTAAAAAATAGTTGCCAGATATATAATATTTATAAAAATCATGGAAAATTAAACCCCAATACAGATTATTGTTAATAATTTGAGTTCTACTTACCTAGCTATCCTTAAGAAATGGGCTAAGAAAACAGCATCTAGTAAATATGTACTACTACTTTTTGGTCTAACGGCCGACTTTTACACCAAATTCGAATATTTTCTATTGCATATGGCGCTGGATATATCAATTTAGAAAATTATAGATACACGTTTGTCACAATGACGTGAAAAGACTTAATTTTTAAGATTTTTTAAAGAAGTGGCTACAACAGGGTCAATGGCCACAAATGGTGCGTCTACCCTACCGCAAGGCATAACGGCTAGGGTATTCCTTTTTAAAAAAAGCACCATAAAAGCACTCTAGGGTGGGGATCCTTGACAGTTCTGTTTGACGATTCATTTGACACATTTGAATTTGATTTGAAATTTTGTGGATTTGTCAGTCTTTACGGAGCTTATTTTATGTTATTTATTATTTATTCTACTACTGATAGTTGTATAAAGGTAGTAAATCTAGATGGAAATTGTGGCAGAACTTAAATTAACAGTGACACTATTGCGATTTTTCGAAAAAGACTCTAAAATAGTTGGTTGTGTAGTGTGCGGTAGATCTCGGCAAAAATTGAGTGAAATAATGGAACAACTTTTCGCTAGTAAGTGACTATATAATATACATACGTGTAGTAAACCGACCATTTATAAAATTCACTTAAATTAACTAAATTATATATTTTTCTTGCATTTTAGCTTTTATTTATTACTTGTCAAAGATTAGATGTCAAAGAATTTAGATACGTTAATTTGACTTACCTACTTCAGTAGCGCATCGGATGTTTGTGTTAATAAATACTTATTATAACTTATCTATTTTCATTAGAATTATATATTTTTATAACAATTTTAATAACTACCAACATTTATTCACAACGTAAAATAAAACAACAAATTATTGAGACTACCCCACGTCTACCCTACATCATAGTTTTACATTTTTTAAATTAGAACGACACTGATAAACCGGAATTTAAGTCGGCCATATTTGAGGCCCATCGCGGTGTACCTAAGATTTTTGATATGCTCCTTCCTTAGTCTTCTTATTCAAAGCCTCTAACAGACCGATCAATGAAGCACTTGTATGTATAGAGGTCAATTTTGTCCAATTTACTACTTTCGATTCCAAAAATACGTTAATAGTTCGATGTCCACGGAGTACTGAGAAACCCTGTATATTTAAAATATTTACAAAATATCATGAATATTTTTAATTGATTTTAATATTATTTTAGCGAAAAAAAAAACAATGCTGAGTGTCGTTAAATAAAAATATTTCAATCCGTATCAGCTAAATTCGGCAAATAAATATTTTATAATTAAAACTCTATCCCTGCCTTGATTTATTATACCAATTTAATATTTTCTGTGTATTAGTGCAAAAAATAAATGGTTTATTTATCATTTATATTACTAATTTTTTTGTCATATTTTTTATGAAATATTTATGAAATTAGGAAAGAAATAAAATTACAAAACAAAAATAAATTATGTGCATATATTTTTATCACAGCATATTTTATTAAGGAACCACACTGGAACAACTTAAATTTAAAGAAGCTCCAAACAATAATAATTTTCACCCCAATGTGGGTTATTACGATTAGACGATAGTTTTATACAGATACTTACAACAAATAACTTACAAAAATAACTCTGTTACAGGTGGAGTTTTTGTAGTTCTACTATGCGGTCTAGCTCTGGCAATCTTAGTAGCCATTTTGGAGTTTTGCTGGAACAGCAAGAAAAATGCCCAAACTGACAGACAGTCGTTGTGCTCCGAAATGGCAGAAGAATTAAGATTTGCAATGAGGTATTAAAATATTATAATAATATTTTTGTTTTACTGTCTATTTAATATGTTTCGTAGTTCTATGTTTCATTTTTTTTCTTAGATGTCATGGTTCAAGACAAAGGCCTGCCTTAAGAAGAAGTTGTACAAGGTGCAGTCCTGCAACCACCTATGTTCCTGCTGCCTTGGACCTGCCACATCTTAATGGCGTAAGTACATGTGTAGTTTTTTACGATAATTCAAAAAAAAATATTTTAAAGTGTGACTCTTTAATGTACAGGGTGGTCGAAATTGGTCTGTTTTATATCTTGGCCTCCTAGGTCCTGTGATTTAACTCTTTTCGAATTATATATGGGGGAAATTAAAAGACCTTTATATAAGGGAGGAACCATTGGGACCAGAGAAGAATTGCAGAAGGCTGTAGGGCCACAGGCAAGCTTTTGGACATATTAAACCAGTTCACCTAATAAATCGTTGTAACTCGGTGCGCAAAAGATGTTTATTTTGTATTCAACAAGGAGGCGCCCAATTTGAACGTCTTTGATTTTTTTTAGAAAACTATATTCGTCACTCAAAAAATACGTTTTTTTAGTTTTGTTCTTTGTTTATTGTATCGATTTCAGTTGTAATTACTAATACTAATAATTACTATTACTAATAATAATAGAATGTTAATTTACCTTTTCGAAAGTTTTTAATTATGCAGATAAATAATAATTATAGAATATTAAATTGTGATAAAAAATAATTAAGCCAACAGGTCAACTCAAAATCAAAGCCCACTTCGATATAAAGATAAAAAGCCTCATATTTATCTAATTCTTAGAAATAGATACCCATAACTTTATATAGTTGGAAAGGGTTAAACGGCAGCATTTTTTTTAAGTTCATAGTCAACTACGATTTCCATTTAAAAATAATATTTTTTATTGTTTCTGACAAAAAGAGCAAGCATAAAAAACTGACTACGCCACTGGCTTGTCCTTAAAAAAGTGCCTTAAGAACGTTTTTACAGAATTTTATTATTCCGCGAAATAAAAAAGTTATGGGCAATTTGCAAAATGGTAACAAATTCAAATAGACCCCGTATCTCAGTTGGCAATTTTATTTAAAAAATGTAAAACTATGATGTAGGGTAGACGTGGGGTAGACTCAATAATTTGTTGTTTTATTTTACGTTGTGAATAAATGTTGGTAGTTATTAAAATTGTTATAAAATATATAATTCTAATTAAAATAGATAAGTTATAATAAGTATTTATTAACACAAACATCCGATACGCTACTGAAGCCGGTAAGTCAAATTAACGTATCTAAATTCTTTGACATCTAATCTTTGACAAGTAGTAAATAAAAGTAAAAATGCAAGAAAAAATATATAATTAGTTAATTTTAGTAAATTTCGTAAATGATCGGTTTACTACACGTATGTATATTATATAGTCACTTACTAGCGAAAAGTTGTTCCATTATTTCACTCGATTTTTGCCGAGATCTACCGCACGCTACACAACCAACTATTTTAGAGTCTTTTTCGATAAATCGCGATAGTGTCACTGTTAATTTAAGTTCTGCCACAATTTCCATCTAGATTTACTACCTTTATACAACTATCAGTAGTAGAATAAATAATAAATAACATAAAATAAGCTCCGTAAAGACTGACAAATCCACAAAATTTCAAATCAAATTCAAATGTGTCAAATCAATCGTCAAACAGAACTGTCAAGGATCCCCACCCTAGAGTGCTTTTTCCGCCCACCATGCATGAATACATGGATAGCATTATGCTCTTAGTCTTCTTATTCAAAGGTTAAAACAGACTAATTTCGACCACCCTGTACATATTGTGTTTTATTTCAAAAAAACTCTATTACTTTGGGACCTATATTTTTTGAGGGTATTTAGACTGCATGTTAACTAAGGCATATCCATAATAAAGTTAAAAAAAAAACATAGTGACGTATATTTTTTACAAAAGACGGCTTTGGTGACTAAAACCCCCGAAGATTTATGAGGAGCATAATGAAAAAATCAGGCCACTTTCATATATCGCGATGATACGATTTAAATCAAATCCTTTTAAAGGAGACCGTGGCTGCCGGGAAGCCGAAATCCCGGTTGCTGCACAAAGCGGGAGATATATTATGCATTCCGCATTTTTACTGCTCCACTCGCCATCATAAATCAGTCGGTTAAAATAAAAGAAATGCGTTCGAGAACAGGCAGCCAGCATATGTAAAACAAATTTTCGGTTAACGACTCCATTGTAGGAGGATTAAGGTAATACATACGTTTCATCTGGATTGATATATCTAACTAGTCATCTCTCTTAGCGCTCTAACTCACTGATGACCAGGGGTGCAACTTTGTTCAAATTAGCAACCGATCGTTTAGAAGCGATGTCGAAACCAGATTGGTACTATGTCTAGACTGTCGCCTCGCCACAAAGCGAGAAATCAGAATATCGCTACGAATCGATGTTGCTACTGAGCATAGTGCATCAAGCCACAAATTACTTTGCTATCGCTTTGAAACATGAACAAAGTGCAAACTGTTTTACTTATTTTTATCTGCAGAATATGCTGGCAAAGTTTCCGGAATACAGTTCGGACATACCCGTTTAATTATAACTATAATTTTGAAAATTATAAACCTTGAATTGCAACTAAATATCTACTCTACTTACTAATTGTTTCTTTCAGGAGGGTGTAGTACTGCCAATGATGGACCTAAAAAAATCCCCCATAAACTACGACGTGGACACCTAGCGACGACTCACCTCCGGAGGTTACTCCACCTTCACCTGCGCCTCCACCTCCATCAGAGACTGCTGTGGAGGTCCCTCCACATCTGTCATCCAGAAAGCCGCCACATTAGACTACAGGACCTCAACAGGCCCTGACGTAAGCATCGGAAGTGGTACCAACAAATGCGCCACGTTGGGACGTACCGCTTCAGTACGAAAAATAGTGTCCGTGGGAGGAATAAACTACCGCGCAGACAGTGACGAGTCGTACTGCGCATCGGCGACGCAGTGCGACGTTGTCGTGACGCGGACTGGCAACGGGAAGTTCCTGGTGTCGGGCACGGACGTTCCCGACAGGATTCTGTGGAAATTCGATTGTGATATTAAGTCCGGCAACAGTCCGGACGTGGTGAGCGGGAGCGCGGTGTTGCCGGACGCGGTGGTAAGTCGGACGACGACTCTGTGATACTTATTAGGCTAGTAAGGTATTTTTTTGTACATATTATAGGGAAAAAACTGTAAACTTATGATATATGTAAGGTATGTTAACGTGTGGGTTAATGGAATACGTGTTGAATATTGTCTGTTTTTTAATTTTTAAAGATTATTTATTTATACGATATTGTTTGTTAATGTAGTTACACACGTACATTTTTTTCTGATGGTGCAACTACACAGTCCACATCACACACATCACAGTAAAGAGTCCAAAAAAACGAAAGAATAAATAATAATAACTTTACCACCATACACACAAAGTTTGGTGTGTGCAGGCAAGTCTGTACAATTATTTACAATGGTATTTTGAAACGGATTATGTGGATAGTCTACTAGCAGCCTCAAAGTCTTGACCATACACGTTGAGAGACATCTCAAAGTCTGGACTGCAAAGTCCGAACCTTCAGAAAAATCTGTAGGTATGTGGCTACCTTTAGAGTAACCTTATTTAAGATACTGAGATTACTAATATTTTTTTCTTAGTTTCTATACAGGGTTGTTCACCACATACGACACGGAGTATTGTAGCTAAACGATGAGATTTTTACAAATTATAAGTTTGGGGTTCGTTGAAGGACTATTAGAGCTACAATTTAAAAATATTTTTACAAGAGACAGAGTGTCCCAAATAAATAAAAAATATCAAAGTTGTATTTTTTTAAATGGAACACCCTGTATATTATTACATTTTTAGTTTCTACGATTAAAATAAAGGTAAATTTGATTAAGGTTTATTATACTTAAACATTACGTTTTTGAAATATTTTCAATTTTGTGAAATTGCAGTAAAAATTTTAAAGCTTTATTTCTCCAAGGGTATCAATGTTTTTAATACTAAATATTTAATGAAGTTTATTTATTGATCAGTTATTGTGTTGCAATAATAAAAATAATACTACTTTATAGAGAGTGTCTAAAAATTTACTTTAAATAATTATTAACTTCAAACGGCAACAACTTCTTTAATTTAAATAGAATGCCCTGTATATTTTAGGAGAATCAGATGCACAATTAAATTGTCTATCAAATTGCATTATACCATTTTTTACCTATCCCTTCAAGTTTTAGTAGAAAATGCATTTTCTTATAATTTAGACCTCATTTATCAATATATCCATGGAATATTGACATTTTAGATTGTTTTTAAAGCAACAAATGTACAAAATGTACAGACTAGTAATATTATCGTTTTTAGCAAAACGATAATATTACTAGCCCATTTGTATGCAAAAAAGAAAACTATTTAAATCTTTATAAAAAGAGTATACCATTAATTAAATATAACACCATTATTTCCGCCCATATACTAATTAATTACATACTTAATTGTGTTCGTTAATAAATTATTATAAATAAATGTGGATTTGAGTCAGAAATCAATATAATAATAAGTTATCAAATTAGTCTTTGTTGTTATAAATAAGCATTTATTAAAAAATGAAATATCATTTTTAAGGTGTTACTTTTTATCACACTATCTAATGCCCATACAAAATTCAGTTTTTTAGTATTTGGAGCAATTATTATTAATCAACGCAAACAGTCAGTTAATGTAGTTTGAATACGGCATCATATTAATTGGTCCTCTTTAACAAATATTTAAACAGTTTTTTTTTTATTTTTTAATGAAATAAACGAATTATATCGACAATATTAGTATCTGTACTCTTTAAAAATTTGGTACATCTTTAAAAATGACCTAAAATGTCAATAGTCCATGGGTATATTGATAAATAAGTTCTAAATTACAAGAAAATGCATTTTCTACGGAAACTTAAAGAGATAGGTAAAAAATGGTTTAATATAATTTGATAGACAATTAAATTGTGCATCTGATTCTAGTAAAATATACAGGGTGTTCCATTTAAATTAAACAAGTTATTGCCGTTTGAAGCTAATAATTATTTAAAATAAATTTTTAGACACTCTGTATAAGGTAGTATTATTTTTATTATTACTACACAATAACTGATCACTAAATAAACTTCAGTAAATATTTAGTATCAAAAATTTTGATACCCTTGGAGAAATGAAGCCTTAAAATTTTTACTGCAATTTCACAAAATTGAAAATATTTCAAAAACGGTAAGTATAATAAATCTTAATCAAATTTACCTTTATTTTAATCGTAGAAACTAAAAATGTAATAATATACAGGGTGTTCCATTTAAAAAAATACAACTTTGATATTTTTTACTTATTTGGGACACTCTGTATCTTGTAAAATTATTTTTAAATTGTACCTCTAATAGTCCTTCATCGAACCCAAAACTTACAATTTGTAAAAATCTCATCGTTTAGCTACAATACTCCGTGTCGTATGTGGTGAACAACCCTGTATATTAAAGATTCATAAGAAGATATTTATTTTATATATTATACAGGGGATTTCACACAATACGTTCATTATTAAACACAAGAAAACAAAAAAAGAGTTATTTCCGTTAAAACCAGAATTTCCTGGAAGTACAGAATACTTTTGGGAAATACTTTGATATATTATCTTTGTACTTTCAGATTTTTTCTTAATTGAATTCTAAGAACTTTTAATGGACGTGTTTTGTGAATCACCCTGTACATTATTATACCAAAGTCCAGTTCTAAGGGATAAAATTCTCGTTCAAGACTGTTAGCACAGAGTATACAGGGTGTGTCTTAGATAAGGATTTTAACTTTTAACATATATTTGGACCCTAGAAGAACGCTTTTGGAATGTTTTCAATAATTTTTTTTAAAATAAACACTAAGAAAAAGTTTCAGCGCTTATTTAAGGGACACACTGTATAGATTTCCTTAGGTACATTTTCTGTGCTGTTAGGGTTAATATTTAGTAAGATAAGTTATCGTCTTTGATGGCAGATACCATAAAATGTTGGTGTTCAATAATATGTCTTTATATAATAACTAAGTAAATGATTAAAAATAGTCTTGTACATAATATACCGTATGTTCAGAAAAAAAACGTCGTCACAGTGATCTTTGAAATGACAGTAAATTGTATTTTTTTGACGCGTTTTTTTTTCGATCGAATGGTACTAACTGCACCAGATAAATTTCTTTTTACCTTTTTTTGCAAGATGTCTATTTTATAATTTTTCGTTATAAAAGAATATTAAAAAAAAGTATGTATAGTTCCTATACAAAATTGAAGACTTTGGTGGTGGTATTCAAAAACTTTGTATTTAATTTGGTAGTGTCCATTACTGTACCTACAGGTTGGAAATATGTTTGAAAACTAGTAATTTTGATTTTATATTTGAGAAAAAAATTGTCATAAGGATTTCAAATATACAGGGTGTCTCGATATTCCGTGGAAATAGAATCAAAACGATCACAATTGACCTCTATACAAAAGTACTTTGATTGTCTGCTAGAGGGCATCAAGTTTTAAAAAAAAATAATACTTCTGGTATTCCAATTTGAATAAAATTTAACGCGTGTTTATGTTATACAAGGCAATTTAACATTTAAATTTTACCAATAAAAATAAATAGAAAGGATACGAAAAAGATCAAACCACTACATAAATTCTAGCAGAAATATTTTGCAACTAATACGACGGCATTTTTTTTTAAGAAAAATGGTCCTTTTATATTTTTTGCCTCCAGTAAAAAAAACGCAACTTTGCATAGTTTTTGCGAAAAAAATGTCGTTCCGAACACAATCTACGAAAATACAGAACTATCGAAAAAAAACGGTGTCAGAGAGGGCTTTGAAATGAAGATCAATGTCATTTTATATGTAAAATTACATGGAGAACGTCATAGATCATTATTTCTAAGCCAACTGAACACCTTTTTTTTCGACCATACGGTATTTTTGGCACATCGAGAGTTAAAATGTAGTAGGTCATAATAATCTGCAGAATATGCTGCTTTATTTTTCCAAATACAATTCGGACCACCCTGTAGAGGCAAATGGTGGCCAATTAATCAATTTTGATTTTAAAAATACTTAATAATTTTATGTCCAAGAAATATTGGGACACCCTGTACAAACGGGAAAATCTATCGGGCTATAAATCAGGAATTACTTAAGCTAGGAACAACACCGCCGCATATCAGCATCGGCGTCGTTCTCTATTTCTTTGCGCCCACATTTTTGGCACAGTCCACCCAGCTAGAGCGTTTACTCTACCAAATTTTTAACCTGATTTATACAGCTCTGAGTTAGAGCCAAAATTTCACGCCAACTCTGCGCATCGTGTCGTAAATAAGTCCCCTTTTTTATCCGGTACGTCTTTTGTTCTTATCTTGGCTCTGGCGATATTTTTACGTCGTTTTTTTGGTACGTACAGCTTTGGACAGTAAAATAATATCTTGTTTTTCAGAGAGTTGTTGTGAGAACTGTATTAACAATACAATACTTTATTCAAAATGTCAGTTTAATACTGCTTAAAGCCATGTCTACATGTAACGTTTTAACTACTTTTTAAGTCGAGCCGAGCGCTGTAATTTAAACGTACGTCCATAGTGCACCTCGGAACAACTGTAAAGGTGCGTCCACATTGCTCGTGATCCTGCGCGCGCTCTTGCTTCTGATTGTGCTTGCGTTGTTTCTTGCGCTTCCTGTTTGTCGTGTTTCTCAAGATCTTTCGGCTCGCAAGCAACGGCGTCCACATTGTAATGTAGTGTTTGCGTTCGTGCTGTTCGAACATGGATGATACCGATTTTTTTTTAATAGCGGCTGCTAGTGCGATCATTATTGCGAAACAAAGGAGACAAAGAGAAAAAGAGGCGGTGTTGGATGTCTAATAATTTCAAAAGTAGATCCCAGCACAGTGAAAGTAAACTTCTACGCGGTTTGGAAACAGACAGAATGTATTTTAATATTTTTTTTATCGCATCCCCGCTACTGATTTTGAAAGACTTATTAACTTAGTTGGCCCCCGTATAAAAAGAAAAAAATACAAAAAACTAAACAAACAGCGCAAACAGCTCGAGCGCCTAGAACCGCCCTAAAGTATACTCGCATGGCTCCGAAGCGTCTCTTTGATGTACTGCGATAGAGCCGAACAGTCGAAACAGGCATTTTATGTGATGGCAAGCTCGTGGAGCACCTCGAGCGCCTCGAACATCTCGCTCCGACTGTTTGCCATGTTTTTCGTGTTTCACGTGTTCGTTCGGCCTGCTCGCGAGCAATGTGGATGCAGCTTAAGAAGAAGATTAAACGAAGCAAATCTTATATCAAGAAGGCCTGCTTCGGGACCACGATTTACTAGATCTGTTGACTAGGACCAAAAGCAAAGGCATGGTTTTAATTTAAAAATTACGAAAATGTGTCTTCTTCAAAAGCAAATATCTCCATCAAAAATAAAGCTAATTGAGAGGAATCAAAAAACAATCTATCGAGAAAGGATGTATCTAGATGATAAAGTAATTTTTAAATTCCTTGCTGTCTTAAAATATTCCACAGGGTGTTTCAAACTTTCACCAAGATATCAACGTTTTGTTTTCTCTCGTATAATTGACAGGGAATTTTTATTTTTAATTTAGAAAGAGATAGG